GACATTATGGTAGTCAACTGTTAATTATGGGTTGTTTGTCTTCTGGTGAAATACTGTGTTGCTTACATTGTTCTGTTCTGATCTGCTTTGTTATGTCCTGTTTGTCTTTTAGTATTCTGTTTTTATGGTGTATGTCTGAGATCTTAATTATTATATGTCTGGGTGTAGATTTATGTTGGTTGTGACTGTTTGGCATTTATATGCCTCACTTATCTGCATATCTGATTTTTTCCCCATGTTTGGGAAATTTTCTGCTATTACTTCTGTGAATATTTTAGTTATGTCATTTGCATTGACTCCTGCATATTCACTGATGCCTATTAATCTTACGTTGTTGCTCTTGGCATCATCTTGAAGCTGCTGATTATCATTTCATGCTGCTTTGTTGTTTTTAAAAGTTCTATCCTTTCATGACTGTTAATTGTGATCCTGTCCTCAAGGTACGAAATCCTATCCTCAGTTTCATTTAAATGATTCTGCCAGCTCTGAATAGAATTTTTTTCTTCTTGGATGTCTCTTTGAGTTTATTTCATGAATTCTGCTTGTTTTCTATATTGTTCATTCAAGGTTTCAATCAGTATCCCATGCTCCTGTACTTTTTCTTTATTTCTTCTTTAGCTGTGCTCAGCAACTCTTTTACTAAGGTTATTATTTCTATCTTTACATGGGAGAGTACTTCTAATTTAATTTCCTCTATAGCCTTATGGAGTTGTTTTTTTTATTTCACTCATTATCTTTTCAAAGATTTCTGGTGTGTTACTTTCTAAGTCTTCTATTTCAATGTCTCTGGTACTTGCTCCTGGTGGACTAGATGTTTGAGATTGCATTTTTCTTTTTAATTTTGCCATTTTCCCCTTTCAAGTTAATATTTGGTCCTTCAATCCCACTAGTGTCAACTGTTGGTAGTGTGTGTCTTGGGGTCTTCATGTAAGGTGGATGTTTGTCCAATTGCTGGGCCCCTCAATGAAGAGATGGGCCAGTCACCTGACTTCCCACTGCAGGGCCTGTTGGGTGAGTCCTATATTCTTCCTGGCCTGACAAGCCTAGTAGTATTGATGTAGGTCAGCTTTTAGCTCCTGCTATTACTTTACTTCAGGTTATTCCAGGTCACCAAATCGCCCTGTCTATAGTGTTTGTGTCAGCTGAGGCCCTACCGTGTTCTATGGTATGCCTGTGTATCTTTTGTCTCATTGAGACAAAATACCTAATGCCCAAAGTTGGGAATGGAAAGGTTTATTTCTTACAGTTTTTTGAGGTTTCAATCCATACTCAGTTGGCTCCAAGGCAGGTGGTATGGTGAGGCTGCAGTTCATGGCAGCTGCAAACAGCAAGGCAGAAACCAGCAAGAAAGCAAGACATGCCTTCTTCCTGCCATTACATCATATCCTGGCTCCACCCCTATGTGGGTGTAGCACTGACACCATCAATCCAAGCACTATACAATGAACCAATCACAGATGCATAATGTAAATGCATGAGCCTGGGGGCCACTGACATAAACCATGACACTCACCATAGGATAAAAGCATTCTACCAAGGGGAAACACTTAGCATACAAACTCCTAATCTGTTCTGTGACTATAGACTTTGTTCCTGTGGCCTAATGTAGAAAATTAATGGTTACCACAGTTTGTCAATTTCTAAATTGTGTTTCATGCTATTGTTTGTTATTGCAAATTTTACTACTTTAGCTAGGATATCATATCTGTTGTAATTGTAATCGTATCTCCCTTCTGTAACAATATTGGGAGGCTCTGAGCTAATAGTCTCACCACAGCCCTATACCAAAAGACTGGTTACCGAGTCAAGCAGATATCAACATCTGACTCTTAATTAATTGGGAAGGTAGAATCTCGGGACAGACATAAACCAAGAATTTCCTATACACAGAAGACATCCCTAAAGAACAGGCTTTTCCTAGAGAGGCATTGATACTAGTGACATGACATCTACTACAAAACTCACAAAGATCATCACAGAAAACAAAATAAAAATTTTGAAATAGAAAATGACAAGATGAAAAAGAAAAATGAAATCTCAGCTCTCCAGCTCACCATGAACAAGTCCATTAGACACTGACATAGAAGATATTGGAAGACTCACACATTTCTGAAATGATAGCAACTGATGTAAAACAAATCCATGAGGCTATAGAGAAAATCAGATCAGAAATAATGTCAGGTAAAAAAAAAAAAAAGAAATGTCTTCATTTATGAAGAAATAACTTAGCAAAATTTAAAATAGATGATTATATGAAGAGAATGGAAACTGTGAATCATCAGTGTAGGCAAGAAATAGAATGCATGAATAGATTCAAACAAATATCCAAAAAATTAAAAACTCCACAGAAAGCTGTTAAAAACCACTTAAATGAAGCTAAAGATAGGCTTTCAGTCATTCAAAATAGGATTGTGGCTAGTGATCATGAAAGCAAAGATCTCATGAATATTATAAAAGATCTATAAGTAACAGTTCAACAGCTTCATGACAATGCAAAGAAAAATGAGAATAATTGGTGTCAATGATAAAGCAGGAGTCAACACAAATGACATGAAAAACTATTTGTGGAAGTAATAGCAGAACATTTCTAAAGCATGGAAAAGAACCTGATAATACAGATAAGTGAAGCATATAAAACTCCAATTATCCATAATCAGTATAGTCTATACCCAGACATATAATAATTCAGATCCCAAAACTTCAGCACAAGAACAGAATGTTAAAAGCTGTTAGAGAAAAGAGATATATCACCTATAAAGGGGAGCCCATCAGAATCATGGCAGACTTCTCAAACAAACCCTCAGGTCAAGGGGAACTGAAAGCAAAGTGTTTCAAATCTTGAAAGAAAACAAATTCTAATCCAGATTAATGTACCTTGCAAAACTTTCTTTTAAAATTAATGGAAGAATAAAGACACTTCTGTGATGAGGAACAACTGAAGAAATTCATGACCACCAAACCAATGCTACAAAGGGTATTGGAAGATATTGTAGATGGAGGTAAAAATGAATACAATTCCAAGCACAACAATAGAAAGAAACTACCAAGTAGGGCAAGCATTTAAACACAAGGAGAAAAATAGGAAAATAAATAATATGACAAAGATAAGCTAATACATGTCAGTTATAACCATCAATATAAATGATCTAAGATCACCAGTCAAAAGAAACACACTGGCAGAATGGATCAACAAACAAGATCCAAAAATGTACTGTACTCAAGAAACACATTTCACTCAAAAATAAACTCATAGACAAAAGACAAAGGACAAAAAGCAATACCCCATGTAATAGGAACCCAGAAAAAAAGCAGGAGTAACAATATGTAATTTATCAACTGGTGATTTCTTACTGCTTTTTTTGTTGAAATTCTGTATTATTTCTATCTTTTTTTCTGTTTTGCATTTTTTTTCTCAAAAAAATGCAGGAGTGGCTATTCTGTTTGCAGACAATGTGAATTTCAAACCAAGAATGATCAAAAGAGATGAAGAAGGTCACTACAAACTTGTTAGGGGAAAAATTCAAGAGGAATAGATAACAATCATAAAGAAATATGTACCAAATAAACATGAAAAATCAAATAATAGCACTGTTGTCATGGAGGAAATTAATAGTTCATTGTCATAAAGAGATACATGAACTAGACAAAAAGTCAGCAAAAAATAAAAGAAATAAACAAATGTATGAACAAATGGACTTAGTAGATGTTTACAGAGTATCCCACTCCATGACATCAGAATACACATTTCTTCTCAGCTGCACAAAGGACATTCTCTAAAATAGAACATATACTAGTTATAGAACATGCTTAAGTAAATACAAATGAGTTGAAATTATCCCATGCATATTATCTGACCATAGTGCAATGAAATTGGAAATTAATGACAAAAGAAATCACAAAAACTACGTCAACACATGGAAATTAAATAACATCCTCCTGAACAATCAATGGCCCAGAGATCAAGTTAAAAAATAAATTAAACAATATCTACACTCAAATGAAAATGCAAATACGATTTACCATAATCTGTGGGACACATTGACAGCAGTTCTAAATGGAAATTTTACAGCAGTGAATTCTCACATCAGGAAAATAGAATGAGCACAAATAAACAGCCTAATGTTGCATCTCAAGCTAAATTTCTTATAGAATTCAGCTATGAAAAAGAAGAGCAAGTCAAATCCAAAGTTCATGTGAGGGAAAAAATTATAAAGATAAGAGCAAAAAAATAAATGCAGTTGAGATTAAGATAATACAAAGTATGAATCGAAGAGTTGGTTCTTCAAGAATATAAGTAAAATTGATAAAGCCCTACCCAACTGTATTGGTTGATTGATTGTGTCAACTTGAGATATTTAGAAGCTTAACTAAATGGGTTTAGCAACTCTACACCCAAGGGTGTAGGCCTGTTATGGCCTAACTGTAACCAATGTGCCTCTGTCTTGTTCTGTATGCACTGTCTTGATAGGTTTAAGTTTCTATTTCTTGTAAAAACTTAAATTTCAGCTTCTTGTAACTACCCTACCCCCTTTCCACATGTTATTGCAACTGTGCTGTTCCGAGATAATGTTTAACCGCAGGGTGGAAGTAACGGAATGCACCAAGAGTTCCAGATGTTATCAGAACTAAGTCAACAGCTTTACAGCTTTCCGGGTTTTTTAGCTTTAAATATCTCTCCCTTAGTCTGTGAGGCACGCAGTCTCTGGGTCAATCCTAAGGGAGCTGCATCGCCAGGCCTGGAATAAAGCCTTTGCTCCCAATTTCTTGCTTCCTCAAATTTTATTCCAGGGTCTGAACTATCACAGACCCACCCTAGGGTGGCTCATCACTTGGAGGTATAAAAGGGAAGAAGGATGGACAAATGCATTCCATTCTTGGGAGAAACTCCAGTCTTTGCCTTTGGTTTGGGCATCATCTCCTGGCTTCCAGTGTAGACTTTTCAGCTTTCCTGCATAGACTCTTCAGCCTTTCATCATAGAGCCTTTGACCTTCTGTTGCAGACCCATCAGCCTGCTGATATGGACTTGCACAAGACACTAGGGTGAATTCCAGACCTTGGATTGAATCCTTTGGCCTCCATTTTGTAGACACCCTCTGCATACTTCCTCATCAGACTCTGGCTGACCATCGTAAGCCAATCTTGGTGTTTCTTTTATATCTGTATATGTTATATCTGTTATATCATGTTATATCTGTTCTCTCTAGTAAAATCCTGACTAATACACCAGCCTTATCAAAAAAGGGAAAGAAAAAAACTCAAATTCATGCAATAAAAGATGAAAAGGATGGAATCACTAAAGATACTGTGGAAATTCAGAAGATCATCCATGCCTACTTTGAAATCTTTACTCACATAGTATGGAAAACACAGAAGAAATGGACTGGTTCCTAGAAACATATTAATTACCAAACCTGAATTAAGAAGATATAAAATTTCTGAATAGCCTAATTATCAATTAATGAAATTGAAAATGTAATTAAAAACTTACCAACTAAAAGAGTTTTTGGCGCGGTTAGAAGACAGAATATAAGGTAAAGTGGCCTTTATTTTAAGAATGTGGAGCGAGAACCCCTGACCACTGAAGTCTGGCTTTTTCTCTGCTGGACACGTGGTGTAGGACATATATATAGCTTAGGTTTGGGGTGGTGCCTAAGAGACATTACTGATGCACAGGTAGCCCATTGGAATTCATTTGGCAGGTAAATTGCCTAGGGGCGGGGGAGGTGACCTTTTGCCTCCCAGACTCCCAATGCTGCAGAGTCCCATTTAGGGCAAAATCCTTTCACCAACAAAGAAAGTCCAGTTCCTGATGAATTCATGGCTGAATTCTATAAGAAATTTAGCGAGATTCAATGCCAGTACTTCTCTAACTCTTTAATGAAATTGAAAGGGAAACAATTCTCCCTAACTCATACCTGAAGGTAAGTATTAACCTGATACCAAAAACTAGAGAAAAACTCAACCAAAAAAGAGAACTATAGGCCAATTTTCTTAATTAACATAGATGCAAAAATCTTCAGTAGAACACTAGCAATACTAACACTCAAAAATCAAAGCATTCCTGTATACAAACAACAAACTCACTGAGAGAGAAATAAGGGAAACCATACCCTTCACAATAGCATCCAAAAAATGAAATACTTAGAAATCTGACAAAAGAAGTAAAATATCAATACATTTAAAATTACAGTACTCTGAAAAAAAGAGATTGAAAAGGATATCAGAAAATGGAAGGATATTCCTTGCTCATGCATAGGAAGAATCAGAATTGTGAAAACAGTAATACTTCTAATACTTTTGCAGATTTAATGCAATCCTGATCAAAATACGATTAGCATACCTCACAGATCTAGAGAATACATTACTAAAATTCATTTAGAAAGAGAAGAGACCTTGAATAGCAAAAGCAATCCTGGACAACAAAGGCAAGACAGGAGGCATCACAATCTTAGACTTGAAATTATACTACAAATCAGCATGATACTGGCAAAAAAACCCATCCAGATCTGAAGATCAATGGAACAAAACAGAAGATACTGACATAACTACAAACACACTTAACCACCTTATGTTTGACAAAGGAGCCAAACATGTTCACTGCAAGAAAGACAGTCTCTTTAATAAGTGGTGCTGGACAAACTGGCTTTCTACATGCCAAAGACTTAAACGAGACCCATGCCAATACCATGAACTAAAGTCAAAATGGATCACAGATCTAAATGTTAAACATTAAACTTAATGAAAGACAAAATAGGTAGAAATCTCCAGAACACAGGGGTTTATTAGACAAAAGAGTTTATTAACAAGACAAAGAGTTTATTAACAAAAACCAAACTGCATGGAAAGTACTTAAAAGAATCAACACCTAGGATCTCATCTTATTGAAAAGTTTTTGCGCATCAAAAAAATCAGCAACACAGTGAAAAGAAAACCCACAGATTAGGAAAAGATTTTAGCCAACTGTCCCTCAGACAAAAGACTTTTATCTAAAACATAAAAAAGAATTGAAAAACATCAGATCCCACAAATTTAAAGACCCAATCCACAATATGGGCATCTGAGATGAATACACACAAATAAATACATGAAAAAGTATTCAACCCCATTGATCATTTGAGAAATGCAAATTCAAACAACACTTAGATATTATCTCACGCCAGGAATAGTGGCTACCATCAAGAAATTAGCCAATAAGAAATGCTGGCAGGGCTGTTGGGAGAATGAACCTTTCTCCACTGTTGGTGGGACTGTAGACTGGTGCAACCACTGTGGAAATCAGTTTGGAGATCCCTCAAAAAGCTAGGATTAGAGGTTCTGTTCCACCAAGCTGTTCCCTTGCTGGCTATTTTTCCAGAAGAACTGAAACCATCATACCACAGAGATATATGTGCACACATGTTTATAGCTGCAAAATGTGTAATAGCTAAATCTTGGAAACAATACAAATGTCCATCATTTGTACTGAGGAATAGATTTTTTAAAAGTTGTGGTATTTTTATATAATGTAATACTTCTCAGCCAGAATGAATGATAAACTTGAGGCTTTTGTAAATTAATGAATACAACTAGAAACCATTCTCATAAGTGAAATAAATCAGACTTGCATGTGTAAACTGTATTGTCTCACTAGTATAAGAAACTGAAAGACTAAATAAGTCCCAAAATTTACAATAGATATAGTAAATGGGAAAGAAACTGCTCAAAGAGAAATTATATTGTTTAATCAATGTATCTGGTAGCCTGAACAGCTATTTTGGAGATAACAATATGTAATATAACAACCATTGTTAAATTCCTATCATCTTGTTTTGAAATCCTGTATCACTATTGGTTTTTTGTTGTTGTTTTTGTTTTTATCATTTTGCTTTTATTATTGTTTTTTGATTGTTTGCTTCTTGGTTTTTCTTTTTTTATCCTTAAAGTGAAAAGAAAATATGATGCTCATTTTCCCAAATTTAGAACTAAAAGAAATGCAGAATGTTGTCTGTAGGAAAATGAATTTAAAAAAGAAAGAACTCAGTAACTGATGCTATATTCTTTTGTAGGCAAGAATATTTTTTCATTACCTATAGAGAATAATGTAATAGTGCTATGTAGTGGTATGATTACCAGGATATTAATCAAAGATTATTAAAATTTGCCATTAAAATCGAGCTTATAGCCCTTTTATTATAAATTGATATTTACTCATTTGTAGCTTGGAAATTCGTTATAAAAACTTCATTAGCCCTAAACCCCAAGTAAATTTGTTCATATTTTGTCATATTTTCATTTAATATTTTTTCCGTACATGTGCATATGTTTAGATAGATATTTTAAGATTATTCTGTATATCCAGCACCTTATCTAGCTTTTTAAATTCAAAATTATGTTTTAATAATTTTATATAATTAATAATAAAATTATAATGAGATTAAAACTTAATTTTACTTTTTAATAGGTAACATGAAAGTATCATATTTTACTCCACAATTTCCCTTTTGTTTTTGAGTTATTTCTGTTCTTTTGCCTTTATAAATAATGTCAAGTTGTACTTTATTCTCCATGAAATTTTCACGTGACCTCTGATGTCAATTCTGTTGAGCTACATTCCTAGAAGCAGAAAGACTAGATGAATAGGTTTTCTTTTTAAGATTTTTGCATACTCTATACATTGTTTTTAAGAAAGGTGATGTCTATATTAACTTCAAAGAACTATTATGTTTCCATGGGAACAATGAAAAGAATGGAGTTAGATTTGAGTCATCTCAGTAAATCAGCCCAGTTGAAAAGGAAGGCATTTTTTTGTTTTCTAAACAGGTGTTTTGAATACATATTTATAAAATATACTCCTGTGTGTGTGTGTGTGTGTGTTTAAATGTGTGTGGATGTATGTGTATGCACCTTTTATTATCTGATTCTGAGAAGTGTTTGTTCTTTTCTTTTCCATTTACTACTGGCATCTTTTTTTAAAAAACTTAGTCTTTTAACTTCTATTTTTCAGACTAATCATTAATCAAATTGTTTAATCTTAGATTTCTTAAGAGCTCAGAAAACCCAAGTCTTACAAACATCAGCTTAATTTACAGATTTATTTAGGTCATTCAGGTAGTTTAGCCTAGTACATATAAAACATTAAATTGAAACCAGAGAAACTGGAGTTTACCACTTACTAGTTTGGTGGTCTGTATTCATACTTAACTTTCTTTCAGCCCCAGTAAACTTAGTCATAAAATGAAGAGGTTGATACTTATCTGCTAGGGTTTTTGTGAGAACAAGAAGAAAATCAGGTACATAATAGCTATACAACATTTTATCATACTTTAAAATCAACCCATGAGATAGCATCTAGATTTAAAATGGAAAGTTGATTCATTTGAAAAATTGCAGTTACTCTGTGTTTTAACAGTTTCCAGCCATAAATGTATCAGCTTTGTTTTTTATGGTGGCTGTTATGTTTCCTGTCAATAGAGACAAAAAAGTCTCAAGTTGATATATATACTTTACACTGTAAACTACTTCCTCTTTTTATTTCCTCATCCTATATGTTGAATTTTGAGTCCGTTTCTTTTTCTTTGTTTTTGTTTTGTTTTGTTGCTTCTTGTTTTTAAGCACTTAATATTCTGCTTCGTTCATTTTGCTTACCAATTAAAATTCTTTTCTTTATCCTTGACAGGTGCTACTTTTTTTTTCTTTTTTTTTTTTTTTTTTCTTTTTGAGAGAGGATCTTGCTATGTGGTTTAGGCTGCCCTTGGACTCATGGTGTAACCTAGGCTGACCTTAAGCTTGAAGCAATCCTCCTGCCTCATACTTTAGTAATTAAACTCTTAGAAGGACATCAGCCCTATGATTGGCTTACTTACTTTCCACTCAACTGGTTCTCAGAATAGAGAACTAGGTTTCACTTCTGTTTTACAAACACATTCCACAGCAGCAGTGAATTAATCAAATAAAGCACCACAATAGGTTTTTCAGATGACACTTGTCATAAGATTATTTTGATTCTATGATATTTGGCATTTTTCTAATAATGAAGTTTCCATGGCTATAAGTTTTATGTTTTACTACCTGTTATTTTGTACATTTTTTTGGTGGTCTTGGTGGTTGAATAAAACCTAGCAGTACCCTAACACTGAGCTCCATACCAACCTGATTTATTTTTTATTTTGAGGCAAGTTCTGGATAAGTCACTCAGCTGCCTGGCCTGGGCTTGAATTATTAACTTGTGATCCTTCTATTTCAGCCTACCAGAGTATACCATTATTCCCAGAACATGATGATATATTTGATATGATCATACTGTTGATTATCAGAGTCAAAAGTAAATCACAAACATTCTAAAGGTGTAATTTAAGTAGTATTTTGAAATTGGAATCGTGCAACTTTAAGAACTCTATTATTCTTCATGTTATTCACACATTTTCTATAAGATTTGGTAACTTGAAATCTCTCCTTCCTTTTATACTTCCTCAAAGATGAGATAAGAAAACCAATAATGCTTAACCCAGTTGTGTACTGCACAGTTCAGCTAATAGTTTTCTTTTTTTTTTTTTTTTTTTTGTATTCTGAAGTGCATTCATCTTATGGGCATTCACCAGTGTACAACTCTACTTTAAGTGTAATCATACTTGTAAATAAGTGCTCAGACATCTGAATTACAGTTTATGTTACCAGTGATACAATCTAATACATGGTCACTACAGTGACACAATTTAAAGAAATTTGTTTTGGTATGCTATCTATTACGTTTTGCTTTATTTTCTAGTTATTTTTGTATCTGGCTAATTCTGCTCATCTTCCAACATTGTAACTTTCAGATAGCAGAGATATGTCTTGCTTATCACTCTATTCCTGTGAACAATCTTGATGTAAATGTTTGTCTTAGGAAATTGTGTGGAGTTGTACTGTTTTTGGTGTGTTGACATTATTTGAAAATCACTAATAACCTTATCCTACTTTTTAAACAAATCACTTCTATATTCTAGTGCCAACATATACTCACATCCTTAGAGTTCTAATATCTAGCTTAAATTCCTCCCTGCTGTAATTTTTGACTGTCACATGAGATGTAAAGTAATTGTTTTCTATCATTTATATGGAAATCTTTTCATACTCAAAAACAAGACTCAGTCTCTCAGAAGCATTTTTTGGGGGAGGTCATATAAATTCAACCCCTTTTCTTATCCTCCCTATTACCAAAGTTTATATCAGTCTCCGTTTAATGCACTTCATCAAAATTACCATGCAGAACTTTATGAGGTTCTGACTAATCCATAATTATTTGAATAGAGTTTAGTCATTTATGTACTTTTGGAATCCAAAGGTCAGTGGAATCATGAAAACAGGAGCAAACTTAGTACATGAAAGAAATCAGCAAAAGCTTGATAACAACTTCCATTGACCTTCTGGGGGAAAACCTCAGGTTGAGTGATGTTTTTTAAAAATCTAATGTCTTTTCTGATAAATCATTTTGAGAACCCAATGGAAGGAAATCTTTCTGTTACCCTGATGTACTAAGGGGCAAGAGAGTAAGTGCTGGGACAATAGCATGTCAATTCACAACCTCTATCCTAATCAATGGTGTGTGACAAAAAAATGAAACAGCTGATTTCTCTTTGAACCTTGAAATACTGACTCTGGCATTAGTTTTAACTCTAAAAAACTATTCAAAAATAACTGATAGAAGATAAAGTCTTTTATCTTCTAATATTTCCTCTCTTACAAGGTAAAAGTGAATACAAATTTGTTTTGTGCCTTTTGATTTTGTTGCTTTATTTTGGTATGGAACAGCAACCCAACTTCTTTTTAGTGCCATTTATTCCAGTCAAGTTTACCCAGGCAACAGAAAGAGCCCCAAATCACATGATGGTAACTGGACCCCAAGTCACCTGATATTAACTGAAACAAATCATAGTAGTAATCACAGTGTGAAACTACAGTGAACAGAACATTCAGCTCACACTAGCTCACATGCAGAAACTGAAGACCTTCTCTCAAAAAACTAAGTAATGACTTACTATTGTAGCTCAACATTCCCCTTCTGTCTTTCTGTCTGCAATTCTTGTGTCATTTTTCCTTCCTATGTTTGTGTTTGCCTTACAGTTGTCTGATGGAGGCAACATTGTTAAACCCCATAGTCACCACTCATGGTGTAGAAGGAAGAAAAACGAAGACGCAGTACCATCATCTTCATCTCTTTTCTCCTCTTCTTCCACTTTTTCTAATTATTTATCATGAAAAATATCAAAAACACAAAAGCAGGAAAATGCTATTATGAATCCCATATGTTTTCTTCCTACTTCAACAACTGTCAAGATTTTCCAATCTAGTTTCATAGCATCCCTTCTTGCTTTAATGGATGTATTTCTAAGTAAATCCTAGAGAAAGTGTCATTTCACTCGTAAGTACTTTTTAAAAAATTTTATTTAAAGAAAGACAAAACAAAACAGGAAACAGGTAGAAATAATACACATGTGCAGAGAAAAATATAAACAGTAAGAAATCACTAGTTGATGGTTACATATTATCGTTTTACAAATAGTTGTTCAAAATACAAAAATGGAACATGTAAACTGGGAATTCAAACAGCAATGCTGCAAACGGTTCTGTTCAACTATCCAACAAAAACTTAGTAACATGGTTGTCAATCCTATACACTTAAACATACATGCAGTTATCCATATCTTCAATTATGTTGAGATTGAACAAACCCAAGCAGGCTAGTATCACTCTGAACAAAGAATAATATTATTGCTGGGTTTCACATTAAGACACTCCAGGATCAGTGCTGGGTATTTTAGTGTCTCTTTTTCTTCAAAGTATCTGTTCATTTCATCATGTGTCATAAGATCAGTTCTCATAAACTGTTTATAGATTCTACAGATGCATGTTTTAACATGTATTTCCATCTTTTCTATATTAGAGGGAGAAACAAAACAAAGCAAGGAAAAATAAAACATATTCTTATAAACACATGAAATGAAATAAACATATAAGACCATTGTACAAAGACTTCTACCATGGTTCCTGTGTTGTCTCTTGTTATCTCCAATAGAATTGGCTATATCATCAGACATAGTATAATTGAATATACCAGTACATAACAGTATTAGTAAAAACACAACTTTGTATATAGTATAGAACTTCAAAAAGTGGGCAGTTATCAAACCAGAATGTGTATCATAGAGTCTTGTCATCTTCAGTGTAGTTGCCTATACTCTCAGACTTGATACTATCAATCGTATCAGTTTTGAGTAAAATCTTCTCTGCCTCATTTCTGTTATGCTCATTTTTTGCCATCAGTTGTCTGCTTATCTTCTTCATTCTGTTTTCTGCTCCATTCGTTGAGGCCTGTCTGCCACTGTTCCTGGAATCCTAGTACTTTTCTCTCTCTCTAGAATGCTCTGTAGTATTCTCTGTAGAGTTGGATTAGTAGTTGCGAATTTCCCAAGTTCCTCTTTGTCTTGGAAGAATCTTGTTTCTCCATTAATTTCTAGAGACAGCTTAGCAGGGTATATCAATCTTGGATGGAGGTCTTTCAGGGCTTGGAATATTTTACTCCAGGCTCTTCTTGACTTCTTGGTTTGTGTCAAGAAGTGTGCTGTTATTCTGATGGGCCTTCCTTTATAGGTTATCTGTTTCTTGTCTCTAACAGCTTTTAATATTCTGTTCTTATATTGAATTTCTGGGATCTTGATTATTACATGCCTGCATATAGCTCTGTTTTGGTTGTAGGTGGCTGGAGTTCTGTATGCCTCATATATCAGAATATCATTTCCTTTTCCTATGTTTGGGAAGTTTTTCTTAATTATTTCTGTGAATAACCTTTGTAGTTCCTTTGTTTGTACCCCTGCTTCTTCATTCACATTCTTTATTCTCAAGTTATAGATCCTCTTGTCATCTTCTATCCTTTGTATTGTTACTGCTTGTTATTTTTTAAAAGTTTTCCCTTTCGTACTCCCACATGGCAAAACTGTCCTGTGGTTTGGATAATCTATCCTTAGATTCTTTCAAGCTGATTTGCCATCTTTCCATAGAGTTGTTAATTTCCTGGTAATCTCTTTGAATCTGCTTCATGTATTCTATATTTTGTTTATATTCTTCATCAAATGTTTCTCTCCTTTGTTTGAGTTCCTCCCTTCTTCTGTCTGTGTATGCTGGAGGGATGCTTAGTATCTCTTTTATTAATCTTCTTATATCTTACTTTACTTGGCTAAATAATTCACTTTTGAACTCATCTATGTGGTCCCAAATATATCTCTTTATGTCCACTGGCACTGTGTCTGATATTGCATGTTTGCTGTTCTCATTCTCGTTTGTATTTACCTGTCCTGGGTCAATGTTCTCAAGGTTGGGACCTGGGGACTTTTTGTTTTTGCTTCCTCTTCCCATCTTTCTTACTTCTTCCAGGAGGCCCCAGTTTCTTTCTTTGTTGGTTACAATTCTTCTGAAACGCGCTGGCTAGATGACCCTTCCCAATGCCATGTGCTAGTGAGTTGCAGACAGGGACAGTGTATGCTGGCCCCTCCTCTCTGGAGAAGTCAATCTGCTGTGGCCTGTACTGTATTACTTTGTGCCGCCTCCAGGTCAGTTAAGCTGCTGTGGCCTGCGCTGTATTACTTTGTGCTACCTCTCCTCCAGGTCAGTCACACTTCAGAGGCTTTATTGGGTTAGTGTGGTTAGTGTGCACCACTGCTCTAGGGACTTTTGGGTAAGTATTGGGTCTCAGACAGGTCACGTGACCCAGGCCTAGTTCACTCCACCAATCCCGTTCAGGAAGGGAACAACAGACTGAAGTCATTGCTGCCTTTTGTACTTGCCAGTCGTGCTTGGTCCCAGAATGTCATCCACCGGAGCCCCCCTTTCTGTGGAATGGCTCCAATCCTGTCACTCACTACAGGTGGATGCAGGCACCCCACCAACTCAGTTCTCCGTTTGGCTCGTGGATCCCCGAACTCAATGTAACTGCGCCTCCAGTGAATCAAAGTGGCAGGACCTTGGATGGCTTGGCAAGTTGCAGCAGGACCTTGGCAAGTGTGGCAGGACCTCAGATGGTCAGCAAATCACCTGCTGCCTCGGGAACACTGAACCTTTAGTTGTTCCATTAATAGCACCGGGACTGTATGTTTGGTTTTTCTTCTTACCTTAATTTCTTCTTGGGATGAGAGAATTCATCTCCCTCTGTTTGGGGATCCCCAATCTGTATTATGTTGAATTCTAAGTTGACTATCTCAGGGAGCCTCTGTAGCCAGTTGTTATCTATCCGCCATCTTTGCCAATCTTTCCCACTCATAAGTACTTTAAAATAATCATTAACATTTTAAAATAACAAATGCAACTATATCATATGTAAGTTACAATAATTTCTTGGTATCACCCTATGCCTATGTTAGCCAGTAGAGATATTTTTAGAAGCATGCTTTATTGTTTTCAGGTGAAGGCCACAACTTTAAAAGAATGTTAACCTATCTTCAAAATTGTTTCAGCTAACGCCCTTCAGAGAAACAAGGAACCAGCCAAAATGAGCAATTCACTGACTCATTCTTTTTCATTATAATAAGTTATCTGCCAAGATCTTTTGCATCTATCATTTTTAATGGTATGACCTTGAATTGACACGCTCAGGAATGTGCCCATCCCTGCAGATGATAGTCTTTCTTATATGAATATGTGTAAGTTTTCCAATAAAGGCTGTACTTTCTTTGGGGGGAACACTGCTTGGAGAGTCATCTTCAGTACTTTTCTTGTTGCAAGTAATAAATTTCTTTCTACACTTTTGTATTCTGAAGAAGCTTATTGTCTTTGTACCTACCAAGATCTATACAGTATACTTGGTTACATCCAAGACATATTACTATTTCCCTAATTTTCTCTAGTGCTTGGATCGGGAGCCAAATAAATTTGATTGCTGAGTCTCTTATAATTTATTACTGCTACATCGATCCTCTCTCTTTCTCTTTCTCTCTCTCTCTTTCTATATATATATATATATATATATCCCCTTCTTTTAGTTTTCTATTTTAAAAATTCTATTTATGTATTTTATATTTTTATGTCATTAAAAAAACTGAGTTGTTGGGCACAGGCGCTCAACATACCATACCCTACCCGGGACTAAGGACCACGCCAGCTTCCACAATGTGCTACGTCCCTCTCCAAATTAGCCATCTCGTGCTCACTCTGTATTCGCCCCGTGCTGACTCTGTGGCAACCCCTGATTGACCACAGCTGGGTATATTGGCCAGAGCCCACGTCCCATCCCAACCCTGCCTCCTTGTGGCAGCCTGTGATTGGTCATGGCTGAATATATAAGCCAGAGCCCGCAACAATAAAGCGGCAGTTACCTGTTACCAACAAGAGCGTCCTCTGTCTCATTGGGGGGGGCTGTGCTGGTCAACTGGTGGCCCGTACGGGGAACGAGACCCTCTCTCCGACAGAACAGAGACCATAACAGGTAAAACCGTCAAGCGCCGATAGCGGGGGCTACGCGGCGGGTGGGGGCTGACAGGTTAAACTGCTCAATGTTGGTAGCGGGGGCTACGCAACAGGCAGCAGGGGCTGCAGGGCCGGATAGCGGGGGCTATCAGGCAACCTTGGGCGGACGCGTCGCAAGGGTCGAGGAACTCGTAAAGAGAGTTCCCGGTACCGTAAAGAGGCAGGCTACGGGGGCGCCGTAAAGGATACACCCCGGTCTCCAAGTCGATGAGCATGCGGGGTGGGCTCATAAAACAACACTTCCGCCCCCTCCAAAAGAGCACTAACGAGTAGTGAGGTACAGTCATGACTGCAGCGTGACACCTCACAAGGGGCACCGACCTCTGGAGACCCTGCGTCAGTTATAAAGAAAGGGGGAGATGTTGGGCGCAGGCGCTCAACATACCATACCCTACCCGGGACTAAGGACCACGCCAGCTTCTGCAATGCCCTACGTCCCTCTCCAAATTAGTCACCTCGTGCTCACTCCGTATTCGCCCCGTGCTGACTCTGTGGCAACCCCTGATTGACCACAGCTGGGTATATTGGCCAGAGCCCGCATCCCATCCCAACCCTGCCTCCTTGTGGCAGCCTGTGATTGGTCACAGCCGAATATATAAGCCAGAGCCCGCAACAATAAAGCGGCAGTTACCTGTTACCAACAAGAGCGTCCTCTGTCTCATTGGGGGGGCTGCGCCGGTCACTGAGTTATGTTTTGAAAAAAATTTTTCTATGTTCTGGATTTGACTGCTTAATTCTTTGTGGTTTATTTTATATCATCATTAAGGGAGTTTATTGGAATAGATTGAAACTTGACTAAATTTAGCTTCATTTTTGGGGCTAAGAATGTTTTATAGGTGTTGCTTATCCTATTGTTTATGTTAGGGTGTTCATACTAGAAAATGATTTCATTTTTCTGATGTCAAAACTGACAGTATGTTCATATGTAGTCATCCTAATTGTTGTAGTTAGGGGTTGCACAGAGAACAATTTCAATCAGGACATGGAGTTTATAATATTGTTTTACGATGGTCACCCAGAGTTAACACAAGAAACTTAAGGAAATCTATCAGTGGGGTGAAGGAGCTGTGCTGGTAGGTTGAATATTCTATGCTGGAGCTGAGAAGTCACACTCAAAACAAAGACCAGGGCTATTCTGAAAAGCACCAGAGTCATCCTCAGTGACACAGAAGCCTGAGCTCCTTTGACCACAAGCACAGTGGGGTACGTGTCAGGAAGCAGCATGACGAGTTCATCCTGGAGATCAAGTGGCACACGTCTTCCCTTTTGGAGCCAGGAAGCAATGCTCAATGTGTGGACCAGAGCTTCTCCAGAGAACCCAATGGCTCAAACAGTCTCCAACTCGTAGGAGAGTCCACAATGCCTCAACACGTCAACACAGTAATACATTAATGCCTTCCTTCTCCTTCTCCACCTCTTTATTTATGCTGGCAACTTCCCTCAGGTGAAGCATCTACGATCAGTGCCATGCTGATGTAATCCAGCTGGCATTAAGTTGCCCACCGGTTCTTAATCCATAACAATAATCTATCAAATCTACATTTCTCGTCCATATTTTATCAAATAGTTTCTTACTGGTAATCAGTGTCTGGATCTCTTGTTTCACTTGGGATTGAAAAATGATGATTTCCTAATCCTGTTACTCCATTTGTATTTATTAACTGAAATTCTCATATAAAGAAGAAATTTTTATCAACTATTTGGTTACCAGCAAACAAGATGTAAACACAAAAGACAAGATAAATATTTTATCATCTTTTTGTCTGTTTTTTCATGGTAGTAAGTTGTATCCTAATCACTCCTAACTATAGTAGTGAGATGATTTTTTTCTAGCATCAGTGTGAATTATTTGATTTTTATGTGTCTGTTTTATGTGGAGTCATTCTTTCAATGCTTAAATTATTCCAGTTTTGGTTGTTAAGAGACTATTCAATTTGGCTTCTATGTACTTCAGGCCCAAAAGTCTTTAATAAATTCCTTATTTCTTGGCACAAGGAAGCAGGCACATTTATATTTCCTTTTTCCGTTTTTATTTTTTTTATTAGTACATGTTTGTAGTACATAATTATCATTTTTCTTGTGGCAGTTAGTACATCTTCTTTTTTAATTTGCTTCTTTTCCACTCCTTGGCTCCTCCCTCTATCTGTTAGGCCCTTCCCATTTGCAAAAGATCTCCCTATTTCCTATATCTATGTTTTATTTTGCTCCTTATTGATACTTTAGGTTTCTCATTTAAGAGAAACCATGGGATATTTAAGCTTGTAAGTGTGCTTTATTTCACTTAACATAATGGCCTCACAGTGCATCTGCTTTCCTACAAGTGATTCAGGTTTATTCTTCTTTATGGCAGAGTAGTTCTCCATTGTATATAAATCCCACATTTTCATTAAGCATTTATTCATCAATGAATATATAAGCTGCTTTTAAGATTTAGTTATGAATTTTGGTGCTGTAAACAAGGATATGCATGTATCTCTAATATATCTAAATCTTTTGGGAATATGCATAGAAGGGGAATAGCTGAGTCACATGGAATTTCTAGTTTTAGTTTTCTGAACAATCTCTGTACTGATTTGCATAATAGCTGTACTAGTTTCATTTCGACAAATAATGTATAAGTCTTCCTTTTTCTATGCAGCCTTGCCAGCACTCGATATTATTTGATTTCTTGTGATAGCCATTCATTCTGGAATAAGATAGACTATCACTGTAGTTGTAATTTGCTTTTCTCTACATTTTGTGTTTTTCTTCACTCAGACCTGTTACTCATTTTTTCCAAGGTCCCCTTCTTTTCTGTAGTAGGTGCTACCATCCTCTTTGCTACTGGGTTGGCCATTATATTGGATGATTCCTATTGATACATTTGAAAAATGCGTAATTTCTAAAAGAAAAACATACATCATGACTTTCTAGTATATAGTTACCTTGATAATGGTCATCTGTCCATTTGACAAAGACTAGTAGAAAGATTTGAGGTTTATACTTATAATATTGCATTAATAGGGCTTAATGTTTGTGTTTATAAGAAAGATATATTTGTAATATTCACTCAGATAATCCAAATAAGGCTACTTTTTTCTTGTTCATACTAAAGAACCCTACTAATACACTGTTGAAGGGCCAGTATGGTAGTTCCATGATGTCACCCATGACTGAGGTTTCTATCTTTTCTGCCACTGCTGTCATCTCAGCTTCGTTTTGTGTGGACCACCAGTCAACCTGATTGTTAGTCCATGGATTTGTCACTTTGGAAAACAATTTGGTAGTCTCTCAAAAAGTTAAATCCAGAGTTACAAACTATATGTCGTAGAAATTCTATTCCTAAGTGTATGCCTGCAAGAATTGTCAGGAAAATTATATTTTCAGAAAAACTTCAAGGCAAGTGTTCATAGCACCATTATTCATGATAGCCAAAAAGTGCAAACAACTTAGAAATCTATCAATTAATGGCTAAAGAAGCAAATGAAGTATATCCACATCCTGGAATGTTTTTCAGCCACAAAAATGAAGTACTGATGCATATGGCAACATGAATGAACCATGAACAATATGCTACATCAAAGAAGTTAAATACAAAAGGTCATATTGTATGAAATGTCCAGAGTAGGAAAATCCATGAAGATAAAAAGATTAGTAATTCTAGATTTTGGGAAAAGAGGTAATAATAATTGCTAGTTGATGATACAGGTTTGTTTGGGGAGCAAAAAATGTTTTGGAATTAGTAATGATGGTTCTACAGTTTTGTGAATACACTGAAAAACAGTTGTACACTTCAAAATGGCCTGTTTAATGGTAGGTAAATTATAGCTAAATTAGAAACTATGTATCAGAGAGAAGGGAAAGGGTTGTAAAAAGAATTAAGATGTGTTATATACATGTTCCAGCTCCCCACAGAGCATGCAATCTTTATGTATTGCAAATGTGTACTAATAGAAAAAAAATTATATGTGTCAGAAAAAACTGTATCATTAGCAGTTAACCATTAATAATAAAGTTATTACCATTCCAAAAATACTTACAATAGTAGGGTTTGAAGGGTTGAATATTTGATATAAGACATGCAAAGATGTAAATGCTAATGATTTTGAAGAACATAAGCAACTTACTCATTTTTTGCTTTTAGCCTTGCCTGCCCTGGAAACTTTGCCTCATTTAGATACTAATGATCATTGACATAAAACAAAATCACTATTAGTTTTCAGTATTTTAGCAAAGATAAGAGTGCTCAGTAATCCAAGTCATCTGATTTCATGACCTTTCCTCCAATCTCAGGTTAACTGCTATAACAAAGGGAAGAAAGCCAGATGGAGAGTGGTTGGAAATGAGGAGGAGAGCTGGGCTGGGAGGAGGCTGTTTTCTCAGCATAGCAATAGGGCTGTTTTGGCAGTGAGTGTACTCATAGTCAATCTGGCTAGCAGTGGCATTCATGGTTTGAAATTGCTAACTCAGTTTGTGTAGAACTCCATCAGTAGTTCCAGCAAGATCATCATAAACCCCAGTTGTAACTGGAAGGGGTCCTGGGACTCTGAACTCAGTGAATATCCTAATGTCCAACAGAAAACTGGCTGAAGATGTTAAATGAACACAAGAAAAGGCTTTAGTTTTAGGGATCATGGATTTGTTTGTCCTAATATGAAGCTTAGGTTTCAGGACTAACACTATATCAAATCAGCCAACATTTTTTTTTTTTTAAATCTCAGCCTGACAATGACTTTGGGAGGAATTTCTGAAAGTGTTAAATGTCTATTCAACTTGTATGTGAAATTCTGTTTACTTTTTGCGCACGTTTTAGCTAATGACTATTTACTATTGCTAAAGACAAAATTACTGAATATTACTGAATGGCAAAAGAAACAAAGACAGAAAGAAAAAGGCAATATAATATGTGTGAACAGTGTATGCGGACAACATAGAAAACATGGTTACTGGACAGTTAATTAGAGGAAAACACATTTTACAGTTTAGTTGAATGGTGCTGCATATTTTAAAATTAGTATAATTTCCATTTTTAAAACTAAAAACTTCTTTTTCACTGAGAAAAAACCCACTTAATAGAAACATGAACAGCAATTTACATAACAATAACTTAGTATTAGAAAAGCTTGGCATTTCTTTTTTTAAAAGAAAAGTTTAGTCTCTGTAGGGTATATCAGTATTTTTGTCTTAATATTTTATAATCTTTCTACTGTTTCCTAAAATTTAAATTTGTGTACGTAGTATACCCTTCTGCTTTTAAACACTGTGCCTAAAAAAGCCTTTTAAGTTTTTAGTTTGTCAGTTCTCACTGACATTGTTTTCCACTTTCTGGTATTTCTAGCCATAGAGACTGAACTCAGTATTTTCCAAATTAGCCATGACTTCAGATGTTTGTGCCTGTATTGCTTTCATTGTTTCCCGAGTATTCCCTTCCCCTGGTTCTACCACACAAAATCAATCACTCCTAGTTTTGGGTTCTAACATACTCTACTCCCCTTGTGAAATGTCCAACAGTGGTTTGGACTTTACACACACTCTAAGCAGGACTGACTGCTGCAAAAATGGTCAATAACTGGGTGAAACATTTGAATAGGCAGGACTTTTGCTCCTCCAGTCTGGGATCAAATAGGAATTTGCAAATAAAGACATCAGGAAATACTACCCCAAAATATGGCTCCTTGTCATTTGAGTAAACGGCAAAGCAGAAAGGTCTCTTGCTTATCCTTCCTTTCCTCCATGAAAGAAGACACAGAAGAATCCTTTGAGATATCTCTGAAGAGATCCTTTTGCATGAGGTGCCTTTTAAATACCAGAAGAAAGAAATTCCTTATCTCGCTGAACATATGGAGAAGAATCTGAATAAACAGGCCTTATTAAGTTCTTCTCACTTTGTTTCCATTGTATAATTTGTCTTCCATCAATCTTCCCCATAACTGTCCACTCCTGAAACCTAAGTGTAAAACACACAGCTTTTTCTATTTCTGTGGATCTAGATTTCTAAAAGATCTACTGTTACCTCAAATTTATGTTAGGGCTAAATTTGTAGTCTTTTTTCTTGTTAATCTGCCTTTTGTTTTAAGGACATCTGCCATGAACCTAGTAATGGCTGAAACAAGATTTGTTCTCCTTCACAACAAAGTAACTATTTTTTTATACGAGGTTTCCATGGAAATCTATTATCTCTGAAGAAAGATTTTGTGTTAGTTTAAAAAACAGGGCAAAAACCTCTTGTATAGAGAAAAGATAATGAACTCCAGAGTTAAAGAGATCTTAGTTGCTTTTAAATCCTAACATTCATTAGCAGGGTAACCTTGGTGACTCATTTGGTGTCTCTGGCCTTAGTTTCTTATTTGTAGTATTGGTTGAATAGTACATAAATGATGAGATCATTGTAAAGATTAAATAGAATTCTGTGTATTATGTGCCTGGTCTGTTAGAAAATGTTAACTCCTTTCTTTTTCAGCATATAACATGTATAATTTTAATAATATGTTTATGTCCCCTATACAGGCAAGGAAAGACATACAACATAGTGTCTGGCTTAGATCAGAATCTGAATAAATGTTTGATGAATGAGTTAATACTTCTGATTTCTTTCCAAATTGCTTTGAAAGTTCATGGCTTTTTACTTGATTTATGTGAATAATTCTATTTTAAAATCAGACATATAGCTCATTTAAATGGAAAATTGGATGAGATTGCAGTTATTTTACCTTCTCTCTAATTTTTAACTCTGTCTTCCTCTTTTTTTCTTTACATGTCAAATGGTCATGCTTTAACACAGTGGATATTTGAGGTGAAAAATACTGTTGCTTCATATATTATATTTAGTTCTTTGTTCCTCTAGATTATTTTTCTCTATGAAGTTCCAGAATACATTCTTCTTCAGTTTTCGTCATGATCACTTTTCAAATAAAAAGGTTTTTATTGGGCACCCTTCTACATGATACTTCTATTCCCTTTTTTAAAGTTAGGTAGGCTTAATGGTGACTTGCTAAGTTATGATGTCATTAGATCCCATAGGTATGGTTCAAAAATAGAAAAATACAATTTTAATTACTGTTATGAAAAATTCCTAAAAGATGAATGTTGGTTGGGTGTCTCATCTTCAGCAAAGGGTGAAATATTTAGTTCTTTTTCATTGCTAGATTAAAAGTTTTAAGGTGTTCCAATCTAGAGTCATTGTCTCAGAAGGTACAATGATCATTACTAGTCTTTATTTTTTTACTTTTAGAGAATTTTGTTAACCATAAAAAAGATCTCACTGGGCAATGCTTTTGATCTTGAGCAAAGTTCGATACATATATCATTTTTAAAATTTTTATGTTGGAATGAAGAAGTAACAGAAGATCATGCAAATGCAAAATTAATTGTGTGAACCAATGTGTAATTGTAAAATAACTCTTTTAGTCATTTTGGAGTTTAAATTCAGGGAAGTGTGTGGTTTTGCCTGGAATACTCAGTAACTCGGAGTTCACGTGTAGGTAAAATCTAAAAGGACTTTTCATGATGAAATCATTTCACCTGGGTAGGTGACCTCCATTGATTGACACTGAGTTTGCTTTCATGTGATTGCTTGCATTACTGAAAAGTCAATTATGATAACTGTCATTCTTTGCTCTTTGTGGAAGTGTACATGTGACAGAGTGTAAAGAAGAAACAATTCTTCTTCCTTAACTGTCTCTCTGCTCCTGAACTGTTAAACTGGCAAAAAGCCTGGATAGCTTTAGGTTGTTACTGAATGTTTCTAAAGATGTTAGCTTACTACCATAATTCCAAAAGAATGTTTGCTCTGCAATTCCCTTTCCTTACATTATCTTTAATAATTTCAAAAACTGCAATTTATCCAAGACCTTCTAAAAATGCTTCTGAGGGGATATTTTATTTTGTCTAAAACCAAATTTTTAGTCTTCTCTGTACTCTATAACTTATTTATTATCATGTATTTATTCTACATGTATTTATCTTAGCTTCCAACTAATAAAAAGAGCTCATGGAGAACCCATATCTTATACTTCTTTATGTTTTTCTATCAGAGTTAGTGCTGGATAGAATATGCCATGTATCTATTAAATTGCTTCTTTGATTTGGCCAAGTGGGGAGAAGAGAAACCACTGACAAAAAGTGTAAGGCTAGTCCCACTTGAATTATGATGGTGGAAATGGGTATGTGTTGAGTATTTCCCCCTGGCCTTCTAGATCCATCCTACATTCTTCTCTACTTTGCCCTGGCTGACCTTGATTGACTTTATCAACCGACTCCTTGCTCTCTGGTTTCCACTTGTGTTCAGCAGATAGGAAGCAGGGAAAGGAAGTCTGAGAGGCAGGAGAAGGGGCTGGGGTATTTATTCATAGAATTCTCAGTCTGTGAGACCTTGTCACTGTGTCCATGGTTCCTCCTGACCATGCCTAGATGTACAACTTTCTTCAGTTTCCTGGCCCTGCTTTCCCCCACCACGAAATGCACACACACACACACCTTCAAATATAAAGATAGTAATGACTAATGACTTCTAATTATTGTAGTTTTGAGCTACTCTACTAGCAGTTGTTGATGTCTTTAACCTTGTCCATACCTTTCCAAATCTGTATCCTGCTGGGATTCTGACTAAAATTGATGGTAGCCTTAACTTTTTAAGTAATTTCAGAAATAATTTGCATTTTATTTTTGTTATTATACAACAAGAATGTAGTCTAACTTAATGTAAATGTTTACTTCTTGAAAAGAGCAGACATGCAAAATTACCTGTGGAAACTACATGCAATTGAAAATTATGATCTTCAGTGATCTGTAGACCCAACCAAATGTCTTACTCAGCACTATATTCTGCAAACTTGTTTATATAACAAAGATATTTCCTGCCCAAAGATTTAATGACCTGTTATTATGTTCATTATTTTAGAAGCTTAATTGACCTAGCCCTCCCATACAAGATAGAACTTGTTCAAAAACTCCTTGACTATTATTGTCTTCATGTAAATGAGAATGCGAATTAAATGTGTGAATAACAAATGATAGTTATGCTGATTCCATAGTTTTTTCTAATACTGACAGACTAATAACAAAGATCATTGTTAGAAATGACAGAAATACATTATCTCTAGGTAACTCATTTTGTGCAATAATAAAGTAATGTCAAATTACTACTACTGTTGCTATTTTAAAAAAGGAACTTTCCCATTAAGGGCATTCATTCATGTTATATTTTATATTATCATCTATTATTTTTACATCTTCTCCTACAAATAATAAATTCATATCTAAGTATCAAAATTCATAGCAATGTTAATTTGGTAATAACCTGATGATTTTTATATTTCTCTATTATAACAAATGTATACTTTTGAACCACATTAAAAATATTTCTCTGAAGTGTTCTTTTTCACTGTTTTCTTAGGATCAGTTCATACTTGAGTTACTGAGGAAATCTGTTCATAGCTTCATAGGAAATCTGTGTTCATGGTTCTGTTAGGGACTCTGGAAGCAAAATAAATGAACAAATGAGGGATTTTTCTTTAGAAAAATAGCTTATAAACTATCTATACAATAATATGAAATTCATGTACCAGTCTTTTCTATCAGTGTGTCTCCTTTGATGATCCCCTGGCACCCTAGTTTTCTTATGTATTTTGTTCTCCTCAGTTATTTACATAAGAATATATATATATATATTGGTCTTTTTGAGAAAGGATCTCACTATGCAGTTCAGCTTGGCCTTGAGCTCACTTTATAGCCCAGTTTGGTCTTGATTTTCCTGCTTTAGCCTCCCAAGTGCTGGGATTACAGGAGTCTACCACCACACCTGGTTTAAATAAGGATTTTATCGTTCCTTTCAAATTCTAAAGTCTTTGCTAATAGAGAGCAAGTCTTATAGAATGAGGTATGTACCAATAGCACTTAAATTAAAGGAATTATTGTTACTTTCTTTGATATGATAATGATATTGTGATTTCAGTTTTAAAAGTCCTTATCTAATAGAAATATACTGAAGTATTTAAAAGGTGAAGTGACAAGATATTTAGCATCTATTTTTAAATGCTGTGGAAACAAATTTTAAAATACAGTAAAGATAAAACAAAGGTTGGAGCTGGGGATTTAGCTCAGCAGCATAGGTGCCTGCCTTGCAAGTGTGTGGTCATGAGTTCAATCCCCGGTACTGATGAAAAAAAAAAAAAAAAGTAAAACAAAGGTAATAAAGTATTGATAAATATTGAAGCTGATTGATAGTTACATTGAATTATTGTGCTTTTTTCTCTTCTTTTGTGAGTTTGAAATTTTCATAATAAAAGATAAATTATCTAGAGATAATACAAATATAACTGTAAGGAATATAGAGAATAATAAATGCAAATAAAAGTCTCTATTAGGATGCTTGTTAACAGAATTGACACCTGGATTTGCCAAGTCTCTTGCTCTGACATGCTGGGCATTATAAATCTCCTTGTCCTTATTTAAAGGAAATGTCATCTGGGATACTCTTTTCTTACCACAACTTTCTCTTCTCTGGGATAGAACAAAACAGAGGAGTGGTCATGCTTGTACTATATGACAGCCAAGTCTGGCTTATCTAGGTACGTATAAACTGACAACTGACACAAGAAAAGTCCCTCCTCTGACAACTGAAACTTGTAAAAGAAAGCACCTAGACCAGGGTTGGTTAGAGGTCTATTATACTAACAAAATGCCCAAAGATGAGACATATAAACGTTTGAGGTTTATTTATTTATTTCTTCTGTCAATCCTGAGAAATAATTCAGCATTTGTCCACAAAATCCTCTTCTGCTTTTTTATTTGTTTAAATTATGCAGAATCATTTTTATTACTTTGAATAAAAAATAAAAAAGTTTGTGCAATATACCACCTGAATGAAGTAAACTCATTCACATTATAAAAGTGTCTGAATACAATCCTGTTCTTCATGTGAAACATTTTTACATGTTAATATAATAGATGGAAGGCCTCCTTTCTTCTTGCCAGCTTTTCTATCTTCAACACATAATGCTAGTGTATATTGTGTGCATACACTTAGACAAATGCTAAATATTCAATGATAAGAAAAACAGGATATCCTTAGCCTTGTGGAGCTCACAATTTTATGGAGCAAATAGATATTTTATGGAGCAAGTAATGAAACTAAAAGTTGTATTATTATACAGATAAGTATTCATAGGGAAAAGAATATGTTTCTAACAAGGTGGAAAACAATCGAATCTCAGAGGATGGATAATGGGAAGTCAGGAGTGAACCTGAGGATTAAAAGGAAACTATATATTCACACACCCACACCCCACCCACACACACATATGTGTGTGTATATATATATATATTTTTTTTTTTTTTTTTTTGAGACAAGGTCTCACTATGAAGTTCAGGCTGGCCTTGGGCCACGTAGCCCAGGTTGATCTCAGATTTGCAGTGATCCTCCTGCCTCAGCCTCCTGAGTGCTGGGATTACAAGAGTGCACCATTATGCCTGACTAACACTTTATAATTACATGGAAAGGTGGGAGAATGGGATAAAGGGTGGAAAGCATTTCAAAGATGACTTCCAGGATTTTGTGGAAACAAAATGGATGGAGAGAGAACCCCACTATGCAAAAAGCTGTGTGTCATTATTTGGTAAACAGTTAAGGCCTAATTAAAATAAGTTCAATATTTATCATTAGGGCAACACTGAAACTCACTAGTACACTCATTTTATTACAAGAGCAAAAGCTTTCTCACACTCTTGGGCTCAAACTGTGATGTGTGTCTCTTTCGTAAGCCAGTTTGCAATAAGAGCAATGATAACTCGTGACTGACTTAGAGACTAATCATGATTTCTGAATTTGGGTAAAAGAATGGACCTAATTCTCTAAAACACATGGCTGTTTTATGAGCAAGGAAGTTGGCAGAAAGAAATGGCTGTTGCTCAGACAACCAACAGTGTATCTTGTAGTCAGGTCAACCTGGACAGCAACTGTTCCACAGGAACAATGAAGGAAACCTGATTTGAGAGAATTATGGAGAAAATGAACGCCGACTGATTAAAGCAATAAACGTAGACAACTCTTTCGAGAAGTCTTGCTGTAAAATTTGAAGAAAAATGGAATGGTAGTTGGAGAGAGATGTGGGAACTAAGACAGGTTTTATGTGTAGGTACAGTATGTGTTTAAGATGGAGAAACTACTATATATTTGCTATTGGTGCACAGGAACCAACTGTAGGGAGCAATGAAGAACGCAGAGGAAAGAATTGTTGGAGTGATCTTTTGAAGAGAGAAATACTGAGTGTGCATGCACAAGTGGAGAGATTGGTCTCAGAAGGAAGATGTAGTTCATCCACAGTACTAGCATCCAGATGGGGTCCATGGATCCACATGCTGGTATGCAGATATAGTTTGTATAAATTCTCTTCTTATTGCTTATGTAGAGGTCCATACTAAAGTAATAAATAGGTTTCTTAGGAGATTAAGCTTGTTTGGCAGAAAATAGTTCATTGTTTCCTACAAATATTTCCAGGAAGTTTTGATTCTTGATTTTTGATTTTTAAGTAGGCTGACTGCTAGTTCACTAAGGTTATTGTTCTAAAGCTATAAATAGATCAGTGTGATGCATGACAGCTTAAAAGAGGTTATTTTGCACTTCAAATAATATTCCAACCTCTTATTAATCCCTATGGATCCCTAAATCACCTGGTCTTTGTATGCTTCTCTAAACTCATTATCCTCCCCTTTGCTTTCTCTGCAACAGCTAACTTATTCTTTCTATTCACAATATGGTACTTCCTGGTTTGCTCTTCTGAAACACTGTTTCATCAGTTATGCACAGGGAAGTCTGACTGTCAACATTTAGCATTCTGTGAGGTCTCCTTACACCCGTTACCGAGGTTGCCTGTAGCCTGTGCAGCCATAATTCATTAACATATTTTGCTTCTTGTAGCTTTGAACAGTGACCAAGAAAAATTTTACTTCTTTCTTCATTATATTCCAAAAAATTAATATACATCATAGTGCCTATTAAATGCTGAATATTTTTTCTTTAATGAATGCATATAAATGACTTTTTTCTTGTCCCTATTAAATTCAACCTTTTTTGTAAACAAAGGTTGAATTCTAAACAAGGCTTAGAATAGAAAGGCATGATTATCAATCTGTGTATGATATAAAGCCAGGCAATTGCAGCTAATCTAAATTGAATACAACCATCTCAGTGAGTTGACATGCTGGAATAAAATTATTTTAACAGAGAAAATGATAAACTATGAAATTTAAGTTTAAAATTCTTCATAAAAATCATACCTTATTGTAACTGTTCATGAATTAAGAATAAACTAGGAATTTTAGTTGTAGGCTGCTTGGTGGCTGAGAAGTTGGCCTGATTAACAGAGGCACACTCTCTAGTATCACATTCTGCCAGGTTTAACCCCTGTTGGGAGTAGTAATATTTATATTGGTTATTGATCCTCACTTACAATTCATTTTTTTTTCAATGATTAGTGTTAATTATTAATGTTTATTGGTCAGCAGCTTCTGTTCTTCTAGGCCACCTATATGGAAAAATGAAATAAGAATCAACCCATTGATTTTTTTTTTTTTTTTTTTTTTTTTGGTCTTTTTGAGACGGAGTCTTTCTATGCAGCTCAGGCTGGCCTTGAGCTCACTTTGTAGCCCAGGCTAGTCTCGAACTCACAACAATCCTCGCCTCAGCCTCCCGAGTGCTGGGATTACAGGTGTGAGCCACCACACCCGGCAACCCATTGATTTCTGAGTGATGGTAATAGTTACGTTTGATGACATAAATCTGTTGTCTTCACACCATGAATATGGCAGTAGAGAGCTTGATCTTCTAATGCTCTAGTTTCTTTCTATTTTGGAATCCTGGGGGACACAGTATCCTAGGTTGGGTCTCTCAGCCCTGTTCTTATCTCTAAAAAGAGTCCCTTTATCAAATTCTTTTTTTTTTTTTTGGGGGGGGGGTCTTTTTCCTTTTTACCGGTACGAGGGATCGAACTCACAACTGCCTGCTTGCAAGGCAGGCGCTTATGCCGCTGAGCTAAATCCCCAGCCCCCCTTTATCAAATTCCTTTCAAAATTATAATTTCTGGGGCTGGGGATTTAGCTCAGTGGCATAAGCGCCTGCCTTGCAAGCAGGCAGTTGTGAATTCGATCTCTGGTACAAATAAAAAAAAAATTGTAATTGCCTTTGGACACAGATTGCTATCATAACTGCTGGGATTCATTAGGCTATACAATTTTAGGTGAGATAAAATTTGTGCTTCTTAATGCACACCTATTTCCATTTTATATCTTCTTAATCTTACAATTATAGAACAAGGTAGGTGTTATTAATTGCATTATATAGATGAGGAACTTGAAGTTCAGAGAGATTAGGTAATTTGGTTCAGGCAATAGTCTTCAAGGAAAGTGGCTTAGTTCAGTCTGATTCCAAGGTCCACATTACTGTTTCCATTGTATATGCATCTCTCTTATCTCCACCTTGCCTATTATATTCTCTTTTTCTGGTCTTGTTACTCAGATGGAATCCAGTAAGTTTTTGAAGGTAAAGACTATACAATATTCTTTTATATTCACTGCATAGCAGAGTCCAGCACATAACAGACATACAATGCATTTTTTTAATGAATGGAGGGAAAATGTCACTTAACCCACATTCCTATTTTTTTTTTGGAATATCTATAACAGGTCTTTGGTTTCATGTTTACTTCTTCATTAAATTCTTTCATGTTTCCTTTCCCTCCTAATCAGTAACACTTACTTTATGCATATTTCTCCTATATTTAATCCTTGCTGATCAGGCAGATATATCATGTACTAGAGACACAAATATGTCTGGCTACTTAGAGAAGGTGAGACAAGAAAAGCATAAACAATGCTAACACCTATTTTGTGGGATTAGGGGTAAAGGGTAACCCTATTTGAGGCTAAGGGTAATGGGAAAACACTGTAAAAGGTCACATGAATCCCTCATACTTTCTTTTACCTAAACCCATTGTTTTATATGAATACACTATAGGTTGTATTAATTTTGTCCCAGCCACTAATAGAATGAAGAGATTCTACTTTGTATACTTTAGCATACAGATAGCAAATCCATACAGTTTAGTGCTTATGGGTTATTATACTTATTTAAATGTATATTTTTGCCTGAGAGAATAGTTTCAGAAATGCCAAATGAATGGTAAAAATGGCATCTCTAGATATGGTAATTCCCTTTCTATCATTAATCACAGCTAAATATGCTGACATGTATAGCATGCTTAATAAGACTATAGGCCAAGTACTGGCACTGTGATCACTTGCTGCAGGGCATTCTGTGATAGCAAAAATGTGATCCAAACCTGCTTTTCCTCATACAGTAATTCTTTGGTTTTTGCCTTAGAGGCTCCTGTATGGAAACAACTGAATCAGAAGTCATGGAATATTAAAATACCTAATGAGATAGACAATTCTTTTTAAGGAAACAAGAGACATTGTTGATAACCATTGTTGATAACCTTGTACTCTGTTTTTACATCATGTGCTATGTCTATCCTTGGTTTTGACTGACAGCTTTGTTTTGCCATATTTGACTTTATTCTCTCCCCCCCCAAAAAGTAATAAGAACTAAGGAGTAATAAAACCCAAAATGTGTAAATTTTGTTGTAAAAAAGAGAAGGGGAAAAAGTGCTCTAAAGGATATAACTGCAAGTGTGTTTAGAGGTGTTAAGTAGATGACCATATTAATGTTTTTGGTTGGATTATTGAACACAACTGTTTGCAGTCTCACTGTTTGAATGTCCACTTTGTGTGCTTTGATACTGTGACTTGAGCAACTATCTCTAAGATGATAATGTGTAATGTATTAACTGGTGATTTCTTACTATTTTTTTTTTTTTTTTTTGTAGTTCTGTATTACTTGTACCCTTACACCGCTTTGTTTTGTTTTGTTTTTTCTCTTTTTCCTTTTAAATAAATAAAAAAAAGAAGTCATGGAATAGAGAAATGTTACCACAAAGCAAAGAAAGTGCTAGACTACAGAAGAAATTCATGTCTAAATATTTTTAATTTTTAAATGATTTATTATTAAAATTTTCCTTGATCTTATTTATTTTTTATTTTGTTTTAAACAGGATAAAACCAAGATAATAATACAGAATAAAACCAATTTAAAAAAAAAACCAGTGTAAGTGATACAGGACTTCAAAGCATAATGAAATCAACAGTAGTTACCATAATGCCTTTTGTTGCCTTAAAAATAGTTGCAGATATTTGGACAAAGTAAAAATCAGACAGAATAGAATAGAAACAATAAAAACAAAACAATGAATGCAATAAAGGAATTCAAAACAAGCCAATAGTAAATCAAGAATTTCTACCATAATTTATCTTGCTTTTTTTTTTTTGAAATCCTGCCATCGGATTTAACATAATCAAACCAAAACAACAGAGGTTAAAAGCCAACCCAATGAAACAATGAAAATGATATAGGACTTCAAAACAAAACAATAGGAAATCAACAGTAGCTACACCCTCAGATGGAGATCCCCCTAGACCTCTCACTGCCTACCACTGTACTCTGAACCCATGATCACTGGCCCTAGACTGCGAGGTCAGTGAAACTCCAAAGCACTGCAGGCATCCAATTGCATTTCACCTCCATAGCTATCATCATAGCCTGTGTTTCTCCAGATCAACCGGTTGCTTGGGGGACGGGTCTTCTTGTTTGCCAGCCCATGTGCCTGGAAGTGCTAGGGTCTAGCTGTCCCCAGCCTACGCATGATGCTGGTGATGCTGGTTCCAAGATGGGGTTTGCTTCCAGGTGTGTTTTATTCTCTCCCCGCAGTTCACGAATGGTGCTGACTCATGGAGAAAGGTTTGAGTCTGGTTCTTGATCTTCTTATTTTGAAAAACTTCAAATCAACAGAAAGATTGGTAGAATAAATAGTAAATAAATATGCGTGTGTCATTCTTCTAAACTAGTTGTTAATATTTTGCCATATATATTTTTATCATTCTTTATAACTAATAATACTATTTTGGTATTTAGAAAAGATAATAGAATATTTATATTTGATTTTTTTGTTTTAATTGCAAAGAGATTCATAAGCTGTATGAGAGCAGGAACTAGACCTTCCATTCTCATAGATTGCCCAGAACTTAACAAAATGTCTTGTTTATAGTAGGAATTCAATTAATAGTCATTGTCTAGGGGCTGGGGATTTAGCTCAGCCGCATAAGCGCTTGCCTTGTAAGCAGGCAGTCGTGAGTTCGATCCCCGGTACCGATAAAAAACGAAAAAGACAAAAAAAAAAAAAAAAAAAATAGTCATTGTCTAATAGACTTAGTCATTGTTTACATAACTGGCCCTTGTTAGTTACACAAGTCAACCAAAGCTTGAAATAAATTAATTTTATTTTAGTGTATTTATTTATTTGTTGGTACCAGGGATTGAACTCATGACCTCACACTTGCCAGGCAGGCGCTTATGCCACTGAGCTAAAACCTTGGCCCCTTTATTTGATTTTTAAAACAATGTGCTAAAAAATGAATTAAAGTAATTGGAATAATATATCTAAATCTTTTTATTTCTCTGCACATTAGAATGTCTTATATTACGTAGGCCTTCATTAAGTATTCTTTGAATATAAAATAAGGAAAATTTAGTTAAAGTATCCAAGATAGTCCTAATAATGATTGAACTTTGAAAAAGTAGCTTCAGTAATAAAAATTTAAAGAGTGAATTTAGACTGGGATAACACATCAATGGACATAGTGTTTCAGCTGGTATCTGTAGAATGATTAACTTCTAGGTCTAGAATTTAGAGAAAGAAAAATGAATATAGAACAGAATAAAATTAAGTACTACATAGAAATTCTTTGATTCAAAGGATATTTTCTTAGGAATTCAAAAACTAACTGGTCACTTTTTTTTTCCTTTCATTTTATTTCAAGCAGAAAGAGGAAAAACATAAAAAGAAAAAAATGAAAACAAAACTTCAAGAATATATCAAAACAGGTCACTTTTAAGGAAGGGGAAAAAGTCCAGTCTGTATGAAAAGCCATATCCTATAGTAAAAAGTAATCAAAAGTTGCTTCCTGTCCATCTGTTTCCAGGTTCTGAGCCGTTCTCATGGTAACTGGCTCCATACTTCTTTTCTTATTTTAATAGCAATTTTTAAAAATTTTATTTAAAGAAAGACTAAACAAAACAGAAAATAGCTAGAAATAATACATACATTCAGAGAAAAAATAAACAGTGAGAAATCACTAGTTGATGTTTACATATTGCCATTTTACAAATAGTTGTTCAAAATACAAAAATGGAACATGAAAGTGGGAATTCAAACAGCAAAACTACAAACAGTTCTGTTCAACTGTCCAACAAAAGCTTAGTAACATGGTTGTCAATCCTATACACTTAAACATACATGCAGTTATCCATATCTTCATTTATGTTTAGATTAAACAAACTAAAGCAGGTTAAAATCATTCTGAACAAAGAAAAATAGTATTGCTGGATTTCACATAATGACACTCTGTGATCAGCACTGGGTACTGTAGTGTCTTTTTAAAAAAATTTAATTGAAAGAATGACTAAATGAAACAGAAAACAGAAATAGTACATACTTTCAAAGAGAAAAATAAACAGTAAGAAATCACTAGTTGATGATTACAGATTGACTTCTTACAAATAGTTATTCAAGATACTAAAGTGGAACATATAAAGTGGGGATTCAAACAGTGAGATTGCAACCAGTTCTGTTCACTATCCAACAAAAACTTAGAAATATGGTTATCAATCCTATACACTTAAACATACATGCAGTTATCCATATCTTCAATTATGTTGAGATTGAACAAACTCAAGCAGGCTAGTATCACTCTGAACAAAGAATAATACTATTGCTGGGTTTCACATTATGACACTGCAGGATCAGCACTGGGTATTTTAGTGTCTCTTTTTCTTCAAAGTATCTGTTCATTTCAT